CTGGATAACACGAGTATTCGATGAATCCCATCGTCCAGACGTCAAAACTCCACGAACTTAGTTACCAACCCTACATGGCTCTGTGAAAATGAAGAGACGAAGTAGAATTATTGCAGTTTTTCATCGCACGATAGATTAGAATTCAGTTCTCATCTGAACAATGAATTGGATGGAGCGAATCAAAAAAATCATAAATTTGCACGAAATTCAGGACTAGAACAAATTTAACAAGTGCTAAATTGATGGCGGTGTGATTATTAAGTAAATCGCAGAGATGAGTATGAAAGCTCTCAGAGAAGTGTTGCCTACAAGGTGAGGCAGTGCATGCTCTTCATCAGACTCCTGATATTTCCATTTCGCCATAAAAAAGTAACCTAATATGCCCCGTATTAAATAATCGACTCGTTCCATGCACATATCTGATGGCTGTGGAAAGAGTCACATCCGAGTACCAGCGCTGCGAAATTCGCCGCGACAGTTCGAGGAAGTCACGATCAGAAGATCGGTATGTTTAGGTAACGGCCGTTCTTCTTTGTTTGGCAGTTATCACTCGGATGAGGATTGACTGAATTTCACCCGTTGAAACATTAGACGTCTATATTCTCTCTAGTCCAATGATTTTAACTAGACTTCAAGACTTCTCTTGTACGGAGAATTGGTTTCCGAGCTGTATTTCACGGGCTCATCTCCTCTTCTCTGATAGAGACGCGGTTCCACATCAATGGAATCTGAAAATACTATACTCAACTTCACTAGAATAGATCGCTCTTTTGAAGATCTGCCACACTTACTACAACAAATTAGCAACTGCACCGCCCCTCCGCTTTCCTTTCCTCTCTCTACTTTCCGTGACGCTATGTTTAAAGGAATCTTCGCGGAAAAATCATGATTCTATTTCAGCCATAAATCACTGGCTTGAGACTCATTATCCACGATAATAGTGAAAAGAACTGAAGTATTGCTTTCGTTTTGATTAAAAATTCGAAAAATCGAAAGGCTGCTACGCGTTCAAAGTGCCCACGGACGTCTTTCACAAATGCTGGCGACGGGGATGCTTCCACTTGGTTCTTGGAGTGCCTTCACTAGAAACTCTTTCTGGCCTTCTGCTTTATTGCATTCACATCTTACACTTCTACTGCATCATTCTCTATCGATTGTTTGCCTCTATTCTCCAAAATCGATCACTCACCGGATTCCGTCATTGCGTCGCCTGATACGTAGCCGGCTAAAGGCCAACTTCTTTCCATGTCTCGTTTGGCTCCGCCCGAATACCTTCGATGTCCATAACGTGTAGTTTTTGGACGTTTGTTTCTCTTCGGAAACCGAATCTTCATGCGTGAAACTTTGCGTGCTGTTTCCAGTGATCACAACTGACACATTCATGTCAAGAAAGAATGCAAGAATTTTCCGCGAAGGATTCCTTTAAGAACACTGAGGACGGTAGTGAACTAGATTAACTCGCAATCAGAGGCAGTGATTGAGGGCCTTCTCAACGCGGACAAGGAACCAAGCAACTGCGAATTGACCCTGTGGTCAAACGCAGCAGCCCCCACCAATTTTGTTTGCAGAAACTTCGCCGTGCTCGCTCCTCAACCCTCAATGTCCAATGGATCACTAGTTACTTCTGGCCTCATGCAGTGCTAACAGCTTTTTTTTTTACCCGTTTTTCTGACATGTTGGCTGACATCGGAAGTAAAGCGGTCTCGCTGTGTATTGCGATCTTTCCCGCATGTGTGCTGTCGTACCTGCCACCTTCTTGTGGAACGTGCTAAAAGGCTGTATGAGCTTTCGAATACTTTGCTTGCATCGAAGTGAACCCTACAGTAAAGGTTGTCATCGAACCATAACTAGATCCACGTTAACCCTGAGTTAGGGGGGGGGGGTTCACCACCGTCCTTTAGTGTTAATAATCAGTACTCACCCCAGCGTTTCTCTCATCGTGAAGGTATTTTTTGGAAATTTCGAGGAACTGATCGGATCATCTCAAAACCTCTATGACTTATAGGGAAGCTCTATCGATTCTACTTCGCTCTATTGCATTTCTGATTTGTCGCGTGGCAAACGATAGTCATCCTTCCACCGAAAGTTCCCGATTAAAGCCTCAACCCGAGAAAATTACGAAAGCCTCAAAGAGAACCTTAATTCAGTGGAAAAATAGCAGAGGCTTCTCTGTTCGCAGCAATCCAGCTTATACTGATTTTATTGCAGAATATGTAGAAAGTATTAGGCGCGGTTATGTGCATAAAAGGTGCAACATGTGCGAACAGAACCATGACTATTAAAAAACCAAGGCAGTCACAGCAAAAAAAATGGGTCACGCATCAATACGCTTTTTTGTGAAACACTGGGAAATTCGTAATCTTCTGAACAGCGTCTTATGAACCCGCCAAAGACAGGGTGTACAAAAACGATATCGGGTCCTATCGCGAAGGCATTCCCCACCACTAAGACAAGGAGGAGGGCATGAACTTGGCGGACTACAGGAATTGCTCCACATCCTCAAGACTGCCTGTGGCGTTGTCCCTTTTCGACTGAAAAGATGTTTTACACAATTCCAGGTGGTCTGCTATCACCATGCCCCGTATCTTGTGATAGCCTCAGATTTCGACTATTACCCATTTCATTGCTAATTCTTTTATGGAGTCAATGTGCCCCTGACAATGCACATGGTTCCACGTCTAACCAACGTGATCGAAAACTCCATCTTTACCCAAGGATAGTAATCAAGAATGAGATACCCCATCCAATTCCCGGTGCAAGTGGTTGACGATGCTGACTGATAATTGGGAGTTGGTGCGAAATTAGCCATACCTTGTCGTAACGGTTGTAATCCAACTCGTCTTGGCTCGTGCTCCATCGGTATCGAGATGTGATTCCGAAACCCATTTGCTGGGGCCATGTACTGCGAGTTCTGGCTAAACGAGCTGTACGGTGCGATGGCAGATTTGTCGAAGTGTGAATCGTCTCCGCGTTGGTATAAGTGCCCGCTCGGTGCCTGCACAAAATCACACGGTTATTCACACTACGGTTGTTATTTCACACTGGGTTAGTTATCAGTTAGTTCGCTTCCACTATAAAACGACGCATATCAAAGCTTTAAACTGTCAACCATTTTGTCCACAATTCCAGCCAATAATACTAAAAGAAAGGCCGGACTTTATAGAAAGTGACGAAACTCTCCTCATTTCTCTTGGCGGAACCAAAACCAGATGCATTGCCGAGATCAATCCTGTGCACCGTACATAGTACGGCAACCACCCCCATGACATCAGGATCATTAACAACTCTAGCCGACGAATCACTTGGGCAACTAAATCCAGCGACTTGGAACGACCTGCACTGTACTCAAACCCAAAAGGTCACCCATACCCACCCTGCAAAGCCATTCCATGGGATGACCAAAGTAGTTCCTTCCATTACAGTTCCTTCTTTGATAAACGCACGTACAGCTTTGATTTCGGCTGCTGAGGCTAATCACCTTAGTCCGACTCCGCTGATTTGGAATATGGGAGAAATTTGGTCAGGATTTTTTTTACAATTGTCAGTAGAAATATTTTTGAGAATATCGAAAGGTGTGCACAAATCATTATTCGGCTGCCTGGGCCTTTCCGTCTGATCAGAAGACGGGCTATTAAAAACGAGAAGGAGGAGGCGGACAGTGGTGCCGGAATGAAGGAAAAGCCATGAGGCAACAGCTTAGAATACGGAAATGGTATTGCTCCCTTGCCCTTTGATTTCCGCATAGCTAAGACTCTCAATGCTGCCCTCTTCGACGTTACCGCTCTCTATCCGTCACGGCGAGGGACGCGGGTGGATACCGATTGGTGAGTCGGCGGACAATCGCGTCTACTAGGTAACGGCCATAGTTAGTTCGATGGGCATATCTTAGCCTGGAGAATCGCGGGGTGGACCGCACCGTTTGGGTTTGGGTTCTATCTTTCGACTAGTTTCGCTTCCTTCCCTTCTACGACTTTTGACCTTATCGCGGAAACCTCGTCCAACACAACGGACTCAGTAAGCTCCCTCCCTAAATACCACGCTATGCTCTCACCTCCTGACTCAGTGACGGTTTTTCCATCTTAGTACTACCGTAGTCAGCTTCAAAATCGTTTTTTATTGCGCACAGGATAGAGCACCTACACTAAGTATCAAAAAGGGTTTGGGCTAAGAAAAGCGCGCACGCTATCCTTCTCACGCACCTTCTTTTCTTGCTAAAAGAGCTACTCGCATGACTGGGTTACTGCAGTCTTGCGGTAACAAGGCATACATAAATTACCAGTCCTGAGTACCACTTTACAACATCACGCAAGCGCGAGTAGAAAATATAAAACTCAGTCAGCGCTGGGAATCAAACCATGGTTCAATCTTTCGTATCTTTTTGGCGTTCGGAGGGAGGGCTGTTTTGAAAATAGAGCACAGTATTATATTCCATGCACGTGACTCTACAGTGCAATACCGTTCTTAGAAAGCAGGGCACGAACTAAAAGACCGTCCGGTATCCGTGTAATCTGTAAGCTACTCGAGACCCTGGTTCTACTTTTAAATGACCTCTTCTTACCCAAAACTGAACTGTTTCAAAAAATGTCAGTATGTTTATATGATACGTCCCCGAAACATAGAAGTTAGGTGCAGGGTTGAAAAATGAGATGTCTCCCTAATGTGAAACATGATTATTTGCTTACCATCCTTGTTACTGACGATTCGTACGATCGCATGAACTTTCGTTATCAGATTCAGTATCAAAACAACTGATAAGAGAATAAAGACAACGATCAGTGTGATGAACAGCAGCATATTAAAAGACACCATGGAATTAGGCACCTGAAATTCTTCTATTATTATCCTAGTTCTGGGCCTCACATAGCGCAGGAGACGTGTAGAGTGACACTAACGGAAAAGGATGATGTGTGGAGATCCCTCTTATAGGGGTGAAACTAACAAAATTCTAAATTAGAACAACGGACGAGTGATCGCGTCTGAACACCCAGCGTTTTCTTCACACATTTTTTGGGCTTCGGTCGCACGACAAAATTAAAATTGCTTGAACTATGTGTTAGTGGATATGACTATTAAATCAGTTCGCTGCTATGATTGAGATCTGCATTTTCATGGTCACGGTAAAATTGAACCCTTAGTTTGAATCAAGGATTCTCAGAGTGCCCGTGACATTAAGGCTTAATCTAATCAAGAAGCTTAAAAAGGCTACTCCTCTCACCGCGACCCAGGGAAGTGCTTTCAACATGAAGCTCTTTTTCAAAAAGGTTTTTTGCATGCTATAGAGATGCGCTAGGAAGCATAAAGCAGAGAATTTTTTTCTGAGCGGCTCTGGAAATGATGAAACCAAATGTCCAAAATATGTCGAAACCATGGTTTGTGGTGCGATCCCCATTGTGGACAAACTTTTGCATTTCTCTGAATTCAATTTCCTTGGACTCAAATGTATGTCTAAAATTATTCAGAAATTCGCTTCAAAATGCAACTATTCAACTTCACAAATGCTGCAGAGTTTACAATGAAAATAGTAAAAGTTTCATTTCTCAAAGCAAAAATTCTCTGCCCTTTTTTGGCAATCCCAAGACCGCTCAGACAAAATTACCATCAGATTTATGCTGTACAGCGCAGGTCCCAGTAGATTGTTCACATCATCAATAAAATAATTGAGTGATATATAGATTATTCTTCAGTGTTATCTAAACTAAATTGAAAATTGGTAATAAACTGCCTTAGGTGCTAGATAAGGTCATCATCAGTAAATGGACGGACCGCACTCAATGTTGCTGAGCAAAGACTCTTTGCAAGTCATTGCAGAGCAAAGATGTTTGGCTGTCAACATTGGTCGCTCGCATTACTCTGCCTAGAGCCGCATTTTCAATGTGAAAAAATTAAACCTAGAATTGAGCGAGTCAAATACATTTAACCACTCCTTAGGCCACTTTTACCACATTGTTTGCCGAAAAGGAGAAGACCGGAAAAGTGTATCAAGGTGTGCTATGAACTAATAAGTCGAATCAGGTAGAACTCCCGCGGTGGACGGAGCCTTCTCTGAAGAGGCGAATTCTAATGAAAAAATTCATAGCCCAGATATGGAGGCCACATGACAGCCCGGTGTTTGAAGCAGCAATCTTCAGGCTGTTCTTCGCATAGCTGAACTGGGTGGAAGCCATCCGCACTAGAATGCCGAGGCGATGCCCTTTTTTAGTGGAAGTGTTATAACAAGGATCTACTAACTTCGTTCAAAAGTCCATTGACCGGGAAGTGCGCAGAGGTTGGCGAGCGAAGAGGGGTCAACAGCTATATAGTATTCTATTTCGGAAGAGGAGAAGAAACTCGAGTGAGGACCACACATCATAAGAACGGCCGAGAGAAAAACGGCCTCTTTCCTTAGCCGTCATCTCTTATTATGTAAGGTCTGCACTCGGTTTTCTTCTCGGCTTTCGAGATCGAAGGTAGGTGGGTGGGACGTGCACCAAAGTGGGCGGAGCTCGCCAAAAAGCATTGTGATATTCGATCGTATTAATACCACTGTGGTGATGCACGCGAATCCGTGCGCGGCCAAACTGGTAGAGGATGAAGCCCTTGGCGCTGAATAGCCTATGTTGGAGTGCGTCGCGCATGCGAATTTGATTCAGTATTAGCGTATACAATTTATTTCCTTCATGATCATTCGGTAACAGCGCCAGTTGCTGCTCCACCACACTCTTCATTCCATGAAAAAAATTGATGAAATTTGATAAACTCGACGTACCTGTGAGACTGAGTCACCAACTTGATAAGTCACCGAACCCGCATCTTTTGCAATATTGGCCACGGCCTAAAAATTCGAATTCACTGAATTTGGCAAGAAATTAAGGTTTGCTTCAGTATATGGTCCTTTACTATGAGATTCCAAGCTTTCGACTTCCGACTATTGGAAACCTTGCACACTCTCAATGACTGGCATGTTTTTTGGAATTTTTATGCATCTTAAAAGCTCGCCGACGTCACTAGGGTAAGGTTTGGTGTGCAGCACCGCACTTATAAAGGTAGAGTAGCTGAGTGGATCGGTAGTGAAAATAAGGCAACAAAAACTATTTTAAACACCTAAATCACGTGTTTAAAGGCAAAGGTCGGGCTCAGGCACGCTAGAGAAGTAATTCCCGTGCCTGGAGGTTGTATGTGGGTAGCTGCACACATTGCAGCAACTTCCCACCTTGAAAAACGTCGTTAAGGCCCCGGGGCGTTCGGTTTCAATCCGGGGCCGCCTGTCAATCCGGGACCGCCCACCTCCGGAAGTGGTGCGTGGCTGGCATAACGTGTGAAATCAGCTAGGTTGATTGCCGTATCAACCGATAGAACGACTGACATCTCCAGAAAACTTGTTTGTACGTGCCTCTTTCCCCAAGCCAGCCTCCTTCACTGCTAGTGGGAAAGAGGGTTTTGTTAACGGCCTTGTCGACGGTTTTTCTCAGTTTTTTCTCCACTGTCGTTCCACTTCGCATCTCTATACTCAGTTTCAATCGCCATAATACCCCCTTATTGAGCCCGACTTTTGCCTTTAAACTTCCTCTGAGGTCGGAGGGTCACATCAGTGAAGCGAATAGGCGAAAAAGCACGCCAAGAGGAGAGGGCACAGAGATATGGCCGTTTCAATGCGAGCGTTAAAAGTACCACACATGGCCACTAATCGAAAGCATTGGCAAGACCTGAAGGACTGAAGTAAGGTTCGCTTCTGCCCGATATGTTTTGGCATTTGTTTGTTTCTCTTCTCACGTTTACCTTTCCCTTAATGGCTTTTTTCTTAGTGAAGCACTACTAAAAGAAAGAAAATGTTGAAAAGAAAGACAGACAAACACTCATGCATAGCAAGGAGAAAGGGACCCTGCTCCAGTCGGCTCGGCTGCACCTTCATGCAAAAATCAGCCCAGTTTTCGTCACGATTCCTTGCCATAAATGAACGTCTTTCACATTTTCCGATCAAGAATGATCTTGGGATTCCTTTACATGCATGAAACAAAAGTCCGTTGAGGCATAAAGTTCTCAAGAAGATTCGATGACAGAGCACCGTTGGATGAAAGTGGATGTTTTTTCTGTAACACGGCCTTTGTTTCCATCGAAAAGTAATGAGAGACTTTTAGAGCTCTTCTAAACTCCATATCATGTGAAACCCCTGAAAAATTCTCAAGCTTGGCGTGAATCTGGACCAAATCTGGTGCGATTGCGTTGTTCAACAGTTTTTGCGACATTTTCCCTTTCTCAAAATCCAACAGCAGTCTTTATTATGCTGTTCCCTTAAGAAGTGAAGTGTTACCACAATGAAAAAGTTTCGTGGAACAGAAGTGAAAAGTAATCGATAAACGTGAGGTGGACGTATAATTTTGGGACGTCGGCTGAGTGGCCTTTTACACAAAAATTATTGGGAAAAATTCCTGTGATCTCAAATAGAAAATTGATGTTCATAGGCAATTGCGTATTTATATGCGATACATTGTCACATAGGAGACTTTTTTCGAAACATCTGTATTTCTGAGATTTTGGGAAATTCTTAGGTGGACGTATAATTATGGGACGCAGTGTATATTGTTAACTTCTCATCAAAATAATCCGAACTGAATAAGTGCACATGTGGCAAGTAAACTGTACTGCCGCACTGCTCTCTAGCCAGAACCGTACTCTGTCCTTTACAGCCCCAATATGGCCTCATCTTTTAATGAGGTGCAGCAGACCTCTCCAGGATCACCCCAAATGAGATAGCTGAGCGACTCATCTGACCATTTCGTGAATACATGCGTATGGTGGTTGAGTTGCTGTTAAAAGTTATGGTTGCCGAGTGCGAACTTGCTGTGACCCTTTTTCGCCTTCGTTCAAAGGGATTCATAACATGATGAATTTCAATCTCTAAACACAACACTCCTCAGTAATTTTCTTGTAAAAGCAGTGAAAACTGTACAGTCACCTGGTCAAAGTTATCCAACGTGAGATTGATCCTACTTGTGATTCCATTAATCTGTCCGTTGATATGTTCCACCAAACTACTAAGTTGTGCTAGAGTTCCACTAAGCTCTGATATCGTTTGATCTACTGACATTCCTGAAACAGGTAAACGTTTTGCGATTACTTTTTCTCAGCAAATTATGCGGCACTGTACGAAATTTGAATCAACCAAAAAAGGAAGCGTGTTACATACAGCAGAAATTATTTGTGAATATGCTATTTCTATATAACTATGCAGAAATTGGAGTTGACAAAGAGATATGAAGTTTCAGTAAAAGTGTTTTTCGAAAAATGAAAAATTATGTTTGTCTATCAATTACTCCTTGACCGTTTGAGCCTTCACAACTCGCCAAGTAGTTTTGAATTCAGATTTCAAACTCTTCTCAGAAATATTTTTGGAGGGAGAGAAACGCTTAAATGCCCTGAGGTCTGCAACAGATGCAACATTTCTATTGAAATTATTTAATTCTAGAGACCAATTAACAAATATGTAGGTAACACCGAATAAGTGAATTTTATGCCATATGCTCATGCGGGTGGTCCCATGAATTCGTTTGCTTAGCTAATTCGGAACATCCCATGTTTTTCGTAGCAAACCAGTGCAACCACAAAAAAGTATAAGGAAATAAGGTAATAGGGGTCCTTCCTTGTTGTCCTTTCCTAAGGGCAGGATTCCACGATATGGTCAGCGGTCGAAGAAGGCAAAACCTACCTAGTTAGATGACAGGCGGACCTATTAAGGTTGTGGACCGACTTGCAATTTACAGCGAAGGGTATGCCCCGGCGATCGCGTATCACCGTCCCTTCGCCGCGATCGCCTCTGCCCACCCACACCCTCGTTGTCCGGTTCAAGCCGCTCTGCAGAGAGTCCGTAGATTAGGTCAGCACTGACACGCCTAAAGAGCACATCAGCGAGCGAGACGGGTCCTATTTTTCCTATCCCTGAATCGGTGTTCTGGAATTTTTTATTGAATTTTTCCTATCCCTAAATCAGTGACCACCTCTACCTTGATTTCTAGTGAGCTGTCTTTTCATTGTAAGCTCCACCTTTACCTCATTGACGACAGTGTGGCAAGTGGGTGGGCCCTTCTTCCACACGGCGGGGACTCGCTGATTTATTTGGCATTTTTCGTACGTTCAAATGCAGCCGTTGTACATTATTGGATCCGAAATACAATGTAATAATTACTAAAATTTCTAGAGGCTGAACGAGCTTTGATGAAAAAATATGAAAAATCGGCGCAATGTATACACAACGGCGATCTTTAGTGAGTTAATCATATCGAACATCGAAAGAAATCAGCCAAGAATTAGGTAATAAAAAAGTATGATACGGAAAGCGCAGTCCGAAATGAACCACTATGAACGTCAATGGATTGCATCGTTGTGACGGGAAAGGTCCGAGACTATTGAATATTGTTGGTGCCTGGAAGAATTACAGGCTGTTCAAACTTAGGAAGGGCTTTTCGAAAGCAACACGCAGCACGTCGCACTCCCCAAGAGCTAGCAACTGTGAAGAATATTTTCAAGCTGGCCTCTAGGATCCACGGAAGGAGAAATAATGCTAACTTTTTCAAAAACACATTATAATAAGTTGAAGGGCCCAGTTAAGGATATTTCGAAGAAGATACTGCCGTGGGTGGAGTTACCTCAAAAATTTTCCGATTTTCTGACATGAGTGGGACCCGAATGACAGGTGAATAAGGGATTGTTCATGTTTCCGAATATATCTCTGGTTCATCAACTCAACTTGTAGACATCAGCATTAAAGACGTGAACATGGGCTATCACAAATTAAGAAGTCATTGAAATGCCTCGGTCGATAACTTTCATCAAACTCTTTGTGTCATCCATGAAACACAACACAGGTTCCATGAGTTGTAATTCGTGCCAGAAACAATCATATTGAACGATCTTGCAATTCCAACTGCTCCCTTTAAGGCACGATTATCACACTGCGTCGTTATCCTAAATTTACGGCTCACTCTATGGCTGATTCATTGTCATGCAATATTTGAGACCACGAGCATGATAGGGTAAGAAAGCGAGTGCTGCTGCCAGATAGCTTATCACTTCGATTGCGGTCACTATCTGCCTTCAGAAACACAGCGTCGCAGGTTCCTGTCCGAGGTGAACTGATCGACATTCATATTACAGCACTTCTCGTAGTTGGCGATTGTGCCATGCATCTAATTTTTCGTCTACTGGTCTAACCAACTGAAGAAGCCTAGGATTAGTCTTACTGGTAGGAACCACGCCACTAGAGAACTTGCTAGATGGCACCTACGGAGGTCGTGCCACCGTCGTCCCACAAAATGTGCGGTTAAGGCACTAATCGTTTCGAACTTGCAACCATCGACTTCCCATGCAACCCTCTCCGCCCACCGCGGCTTTCGTAGGGATCAGCGAAGATTGCCGCGGCTGCACATAGAGGGGATTCCTACGTAGCGGCTAATAGCGTTTGATATAAGTACATACAAGACCAAAAGATAGCAATCGATGCAACTATTTGATGACGAAATCGCTCGCGCATACACGTCCGCACTCTTCCCTCATCCTGAGGTGGAATGCTGCTAAAAAAGGTACCATGTCTTTTTTCAATAGTATGGATTCGAAAATGGTTACCATTTACCGAGCTTATGCGAAAAATTTTATATTCTTTACTTCAATAAAGAATGAAAATATTTCGGATAAGGAACTTGGGCGGAAGTGGTGTAGTGGCAAGTGGCACGCTTACCACGCGAGCGGTCCGGGGATCAAATCCTGGGTCGTGAGTCGCCCGGGCCAACCAAGCCTTCCATCCCTCCGGGGTCGGTTAATTGGTACCAGACTTGTCTGGGAGGATAAAAACACTGACTTGTACATCGGCTGGCCCCCGCAAGTCATTGTATAGGCCACATCGCATTCAAACGCCACTACGAATGTACAAATGGAAGTAGAATGCGTGCCGCATCCCAAAAAGGGATTGATCAACGGCAAATGCTTTATCTTTTATCCTTTATGGTTTTGAGGTTGATTTCCCATTTGCCGAGCTTATCCGAAAATTTCCTTTTACATGGCTGCATTTCTTCAAAGCAACGGAATTTGGGCAGATCTATCATACCCGTAAAAAAATAAGCCATGCACACGGGAACACTTGAATACCCTGCGGCCGAGCACATGTATGTGTGCACACATATTTGTGGCGCGGTACTGTTGAAGGAAAATGAAAAAAAATGAAAAATTGGGCATGTAGAAAAGGCTCATATCCAGACACTCTCAAAGAGCAGGACCCAAGGAAAAAATGACTTATCACACACTAGGGGACAAAAGACGGTATTTCATGTGGCAACCGGATCTCCTTACAATTGGTCCTCTGGAATGACGTCATCGCTCGAATGAGTCGTTCGCAAATGGGGATCCTCGCGGGCGTAGTGTACATAGTGAGTAATGGCGAATTCAGGTGAATCACAACGAGCGTCCGGGGTCAGGATTAGGGGTAGGAGAGCGCGAATCGCTGTTTAACCTTTGGAAAAAAATACCATCCAAGCTATTCATCTCTCAAGAAGAGTACACACCAGCTTCGAGATGATCGTTTGAAATACGATAGCACCTCAACTGCGATCGGCTCGATTTGTTTTTTGTTTTTGCGAAAGGCACAGTATTTGACTAAGCCATTGACATCTCTCCGCTTTGTTGTACTCACAGGGTTTTGGAAAGGGGAAAGCACAAAAACAAAAATGTCGGCAGGCTGGAACTTTTGGCCTTTTGGGTGACAGGAGGAAAAGGATCTGATCCTGAGACATCGAAGCTTAATTCTCTTCTATGGCACTGGATTCAACATCGTCGCC